TACTGATATTCACCCGATCATTGACTTAACTGCACTAATCCCGTATCTGAAAGCTCACTATGCATGACGGGAGTGAACTTCTTTTCTCGCAGAGCGCTCGTACTGTGAATATCACAGCCTTTTCGACCGTTTCTTCTCTTAGATTTTGGGTTGTTCTCCCGGTGCCAACGCCAACGAGGCTTTCTCACTGACCAGCAGGAGGATGACCGAATTTCCTCGAGGTTACAGGCCTATCGAGAGTGCCAGTAAAGTGAGTATCAAAAAGTCATGCTGATGGTTTGAACCGTGTCCCTAGATTGTGTATATCTCCGCGGTTTGGGATTTATTGCACACTGCACATATTGAGGCTCTCCGACTCGCTAACGATGCTGTCAAAGGCGCTGACTATCTTCTAGTAAGTACTTTAGTATTTCGTTTAGCGTTTTGGGACTCGCGTTTTAGGTTGGTGTTAGACATGATTCTTCAGCAAATGGAGAGAGGGACAGGACGATCACATCTGATGGCGAGCGTGCGTTATCCTTGCTCAGTTGCCGGTAGGATCTCCGTGGCTCATGATACTCAGTTTCGGTTTCAGCTACGTGTCTGACGTAGTATTACAAGCTCCGGAGCGCCCAAGTGCCGATTTCTTCAGAGCTTTTAACGTAAGCTGGATGGATAGCCGGAATATAGTATAGTTTTACACGTCACGTGTAACACGTGGTCTACATAGCTAGCTATCTTAGTATGAGTTGAATAGTGGGCGTTGCGAACGAACGAATTCATAATTGCGTTTAATTCGTTCAGATAAGCGCTGTCGTGGTGATAACCAATCATCCAGATTTCGACCCTGATGAATCTAAGTTCGAGAACGCTAAAGGGCAAGCAGACATCGTCAGGTTGGCACTGCCTAAAGACTCTGTTACTACGGAAGAACTTTGCCAGCGTAATAGGAGGGATCTGCCGATTGTTAATCTCAATTAGCTACTTGTAGTTAGGGTGATCCGGAATTAGAGGGCATAGCTTCAGGAGTCTTTTGATTTTTTTCTACGAACGATGCGCAAGAATCGAGTAGCTGAAATTTGTGACAATGACTGTGTGGCAACACCCGCATTCATTTTTAACCTTCTAACGAAAGTTGCAGTAGCGGGTACTTCGACAATGTTCTCTGTGTTTCATGGAAACTGTGATGATACTGGGGGGATTCGAGCTTAATCGGCGAAGTGGGCGAACCACCAGCCTGTTGTTCTCGCAACTGCACTGGTAATCTAGCTTACGCAATATCTCAAAGTGATGTGGCATTCGATATACACGGGGTGATAAACGATTTATCAGTATCGGTGACAGGTTGTCGTTGTTACGATCTTTCCCACAATCCCGACCAATAGGTTTCTGAGCGATCTTGTACTTCACATGCAATTTGCTAAATTTCCATCCTGGCAGTGTCATTCTGGGCGTGAGCCGTAACAGATTTCATCGAGATCGTTGAACTCTATCTGATGACTACGAGGTTTTGCCGATTTTCCCTTGATTTCCCCCTACTTGTCTCTTTCCGCACTTAGATTATGCAATTAAAATTTCGCAATTTTCGCTAGTTGTCGGTAACGTATTCTGCAATGGGGTCGTGACTGCTTATCCTGTGTCTTGGATTTTCGAGTTGGGAAGCCAAAGTATTTTTGTGTTAGGTGTTCTGGTGAAGAGGAATGCCTTCGAGGCGCGTAATTCTAAGAAAGTAGACCCAGGTGTCCGTGTGGTGACTTCTAATGCTCAACTCCGAGCCTGATTTATTTCTCTCCTCTTTCATCATTCCACCTCGATTATAAGTAGATAACCATCAGTGATATGTGCTTCGTAGTTCTAGTTTATTCTCGATCCAGCACCCACGGTAGTTTGTGCGCGATAACCTATTCTATTATCACCACTCTGACCGTTCGCTCATAACAGTGCTTGTACTGTGCTACGTGTTATCGTCTTTTATTGGCTGAGAACTGACCATTTTTCAGAGTGATTCTTCTCGCCAAAAATTTGATGATCGTCGGTTGATTTTGTACCACAATTCAACACGTAATTTCGTTATAGTTGTTCATTCTAATCCGCAGACTCGTTTTTTCGGGGTGTAATGTCAAAGTCCATGGCCAGCACAGCAAGCAGGAGCTCGAGAACCAACATGAATGATATGAGGTGGGTTTATTGTTGAGGTTCGGAGGGTTGTGCTCGCTCGAATGAGTCAACGCTTGTTGCTATCGCAATCCGATCATTGGTTGATCAGTCGCCGCCAGTTCATGCTCTACATATCACTGGTTATTAAATGCGATGCGCTGGTAGCTCCTGGGCAGAACTGGGGGCCAAAGATCCTACAAAGAGCTGGATGCCCATCTCAATGGCAAAATCATATCGTAGGAGTTGGGTCATGGTTGATGAGATTCTTGTATAGTTCCTCGTTGGAAACAGGTCTAGTTGTAGGCGTTCTAACATCCCGCTCTCTGACTCAGAGACTCTGAGAGAGCCTCTCTCTCTGCATGTCTGGAATTCGTCAGTTTGACTTTCCCCTCGTCGTGGTCAGCGGGCCTCTACGATGTTTAACGTTGTTATGATCCCTCATCACAGGGTTGATATCTTAGATTAGCAGATCCAAGATGTTTCAGAGGAAGTGGCAGAACATCAAATTCGAATATGAGTATGAGATAGACAGACTGGTAGCAGAAGAGTGTGCTATAGGCTCGTTTAGTTCAATGTGAGTAGGTTATTCATTTAGCATATGAGTAATCCGGTATTATCTGTATCCCTAGGTACCATCCGAACTGATTCGCCGCGGCGAGCTGGCAGTACGGTAGATGAAATCTTTTTCGTACTTAGTACTATTTTTGGATAGTGGTAGTTGTACTGAGGTTATCATCGCTCTGGCATAACAAATGGTTGAGTAAGATTTCTACTATAATATATGTTGGGTACGTGCAAATGCGGAAATTCTCTATGGGGGTTAATGCAATCACGGGAATAATGTACTTAGTAGTACTGAGTCAATACAGTGTACTGAGCTGCTTATTCTGAATCCTCGATCTTTTGTGGCGATTGTCAGTGTCATTCCGTTAGGCTCATCAATGATTTGTGCGACGGAGGCCAGATTCTGGGAGGCATTCCTTAGGTTATTCGAACGGTCTCTCGTACTTCACCATCGAGGTTGAATCGCTTCTTCTGCAGTCGCCGCCGGCTCATGCTCCACGTATCGCTGGTTCTCCAGTGACTCCAGGAAAGAACTGGGGATCGAAGATCAAAATGAGGCTGGATGACTACTCAAGTGGCAAAATTATATCGTAGGGATCGATATCGGTGCCCGAGGCTGGGGCAGTCCGAGTCGGGCTGTTACTTGTTATTGATATGGCTAATCGCTCCCAGATTATCCGTTGACAGTTCA